TGGGCCTGCTAGGGCCTTTGATGCCACCCTCCATGAATACAGCCAGCCTTCTTTGACCCTGACTTTCTTTCTTACGATCTAACAGCTTCTTATTCTTCAGAGTCCTCTGTTCCATGGTTGCTAGGTCTGCTAGGAACATTAGGGCATGGTTATACTCTTATTCCAGAAGTAGAGAAGGGTGATTTCGCAACTCCCCTAGCAATTTCAGTCACATTGAGATTGCTGAGAAGGGAGGCTCTGTGGTAAAATACAGAGAGATGGATACAGTTGTCTAGGTAGGGCCCTCATCCATCTCCTACATGCAGCTCTCAGGGCCAGAGTGCCCGTACACCGGAGAAACGGGTGGCTCTCTGGCAGATTTAGCATGCTTGATAGATTTCTGCTTGGGAATCTGAATTTTGCTCCTATCAAGGCCTGTGGTTTAGGAGATGGCTTTGAATTTCAAGGCAAATCAATGGCTGTGCCAAATGCATGGTTTGCATCAGTGAATATTTCAGGTTCTACTTTTAGAGTTATCTCAAGACGGCTGGGAGAAGTCGCTTGTGATACCGGAGAGCTGCTGGAAAGACTGAGTTGCTGGATGATAGATCAATGGTCTGATTTTATACTTGTCTGCACAGGGAAGACCACTTAGGGGAGGCACAGGACTGTAGCCTTGGCATGATATTCAGACTCTCCACCCCCGTTTTAGAACAGGACACAACAAAGGTGAATGGATCGCACAGTGTTGGCACTTTGTGGAATAGAACTCTTAATTTTCCTTCCTTCCTTCCTTCCTTCCTTCCTTCCTTCCTTCCTTCCTTCCTTCCTTCCTTCCTTCCTTCCTTCCCTTCCTTCCTTCCTTCCTTCCTTCCTTCCTTCCCTCCCCTTCCCTTCCCTTCCTTTTCTTTTATTAGACTTCCTCATTCTATTCCTTCTGTGACAGTGTATGGAAAAGGGGGGGGGGTTGCTTTTTATTTCTGGCCCTTTAATATTAAATTTTGATTGAGTAAACTCTTCTAACATTAAACACAGTATTCAGAATTCTAGTATCATTTGGGGGGGCGGAGTTAACAATATGGTTAAGATAGAATTCCCCATCAGCCAAATACGAATCAGCCATCTCTGCATTGGGGTGGGGCGGGGCAGGGAGGTTATGCTATGTTATATAATCTCTATGGTTTCTCTCAGTCAAGATGTCATCTGCCTCTTAAAGCTGGCAAATTGTAACTAGTATCACTATTGATAAAAGATCCTTACCTCTTCATTCACTGCAGTGTTTATAAATATGAAAACCACTGGTTTAGGGACACCCCCACTGAAATCAGTCACACTTAACTTGCTTAAAGAAAGGGGCACGTATCTAAACCCCTAAAGTGATGATTAATGTGTAACTCTATTCCTGGCCCTGTGGTTCTTTTCCCTGTGTATCTTGCTGCAAAGAGAAAAACTAAACATGCCAGCTATCCCATTTCCACCTGTTCTTGTTGGTGGGATACATACAGAATGGGTAGCGCCTTGTCCTAACCTTAGTGCTGTTTTTATGTATTTGTACTCCCGATTCACTAAGCAAACTACATTGAAAACACGGAATCCTGTTGCCAATTGTCATCAAGATGTTTCATTTCGTGTTTAGAGCAGGCGTCTCAAACTGCCGGCCCGCAGGCTGGTTGCATCATGCGGAAGCTGTGCCCACCCCAGCTCCAGCAATGTAAAAAAAAGTCGCACTACGTCATGTGATGGCGGAGAATTTGACACCAGTGGTTTAGAGAGTTCATGGCACTATATTTATAATCACTTAATCCAGCCTTCTAACTAGCAAAATGTTGTCTCAGATGCCCACATTCCATCCAAGACCAGGCAATGAAAGAATTAAAGTACAGATACCTGTATGTATTGTATGTGATTGAGAAAAGGACAATAGTGTACAGGAATGACTGAGAAGAGTACCGTAAGTTAAAACAGTGGAGAGACAGTGGGGACCACAAGTCCCCACACTTCTGAATGTATGCCAGAAGGAACCTAAAAACACTGAATTTGAATGATTGCTGGGTAATGTCTTAGTGAAAGCTGGGAAGTGAATAATGCAATCCTCAAGCCTAAGAAGGATTCTCTCACTCTCAAGCCCTTGGACAAAGGGCAGGAACAAATTGCAAGTAGCATTGCAAAGGTTTGGGCGTCAGCATTATCTCTAGATAGCTCCTATAAAGGCTGATTTTTAGCATACCACTCCAGGCAGAATTACAAGTCTCATAACATCATCTATGCAGTTCATTTGATTCAGGGTTTGTCCAGTCTTGGTTACTCTCTTAACTACTTAGCTTGCAAGAGGCCTAGAGATCAAGGATTCTTTCATTATCTTGATGTTCAACACCATCAGGCATATTTTTAGGTTGCTTTCACATATTCACTTGGGAGATAAATGACCCTGAACACAATGATGTCGATTTTGAAGCAGCCTGGCCTAGAATTGCATTGTGAATGCTAATACAACACATCATCTCAAATGTTGATGGCTTAACAGGTATACATTTGTGGCATGAACATGCGTATGCTTTTCATGACCAATGTGTCCTAACTGTAATAGCATCATAGCTTATTCCTTACAGAATGACAGCAGGAACTTTATGCTGTTCCTTTCATCCAAGGGGCTCAGGATAGTGTCCTGTATGCAATTATTGGAGACAACCAGCCGGGTAACTTATTATGCCTTGTTTTTGTGCTTCCAAGACACATCTGGAGGGCTGCACTCGGCAATAAAATGATGGGAAAGTCAGCACACGCCGGTCCTGTTCAGAGAACAGTGGCATTGCGAAAACAATAAAAGCAAGGCACACACAATTGTCTAGAGGACATGTAGTGGCTAGTTTGCTTTTCGTCTGACACAAGGGCCAGACATCAAACCTTCCTGCTGCAGTGCAGCCAAAGGACAAAAGACATCTGCCATTCAGAATGTTTGCTTTTTCCAGCATGGGATCTTAAGATCCAGCTCCTAAAATGAAAACAGTCATGAAAAAATGTCCAAGTGTGAAAACATCCTTAGAAATAACAATGAACTTGACAATATTTCAATGCTATATGGAAAATCTGGGGAGAAGGTCGGAGTGGTAGCCACTTCGATTTCTGAAGCAAACACTTATTTTCCTCCAATAAACCAAATGGGACCAATTCTCCACTCTCTGCCTCTCCCAGAGGTTTTGACCCTGTTCATGGCAATGCTAATTCCAAGCAGGCAGAGTATTCTTGGTGTTACTTCTGGACAGTTTACAGCATAACCACTTCAGCATAGTCCTTTTGTGTAGCTAGATGTAACTTTTTTGTACATGTGAAAATTATTATTGATTATACTGTAAGCCAGTGCCTGCCTTCCCCTTGAACTGTACAGAATTTCTACTAATGGGAGAAGGGGAAAAAATAAAACAGAACCAAAGGCTATACACCTTTGCATTTATTGCCAATGAATGTGTCTTTTCACCTCCCTGGTTTGTGCAATTTCTCCCCCCCAAAAAACCCTTATACTGTTGTTCATTTGAGAGATGCTGAATGGAGCATGTCTGTATGCCTTGAGAAAGCTATTAAAAGGGTCAGATCCAGCCCCCAACACATACACCCCGTCTCTGAATATGTTTTGAATTTCTTGGGATTCCTAAGTATACTTTGAAAAGAGACCTGAAATTCCCTAAAGTCACTTTTAATTAAGATCACCTCAGGACCAGAGATGGCAGCCATAATCTAGTGAATTGGGAGGTCAACTTTAGAGAAAATGCTGTTTTAAGAAAAGGAAATTGTAAAGGAACGTGTTGTGGAAATAATCTAAGTCAGAGGTCCCCAAACTTTAGGGCACCAGGGACCAGTTCCATGGAGAGAGGCTTTTCTGTGGACCGGAGGGCGCGTGGTTTTGTGTGCTGCCTGCATCCCGCGGATGGGCCTTTGCTTGTTTGTGCGGACTGGTTGCTGGCATGACGCAGCCCAGTACTGGTCCACGGACCGGGGGTTGGGGACCCCTGATCTAAATGTACCTAATAAATTCTACTATAATGTAATACATATGGAAGTATGCATCCATCAGTTAAAAATGTGGAAATCAGAAATCTGATCAGCATTTGCTCGTTTATTCACACAATGATTATGGATGAATGTCATGCTCACTTTATATACACCCAGCATGGCTACTTTGCCACACATACCAATTTAGGATATTTGCATATCCTAAGATATAGATATATATATATATATACCTGCCAGCATACTTTCAAGTCCTCTGTTATTTTGGGGATTAGAGGCAACCATAGATCCAGTCCAACAGGTTATGAAAATAAACTGAGTTTTTTTCCTAAAATCATTTGGAACCAATATAAACTAATTTCCTACAGGAGGCCATAGATTGGTATTTTCAGTCCAGATTTATTATAAATATTGTTTTAAAAATTCCATTAAATCCTTAACTCACAAGGGGATACTGCAACCAGGGAAAAGGATCCAGTCACAGCAATAACCTTCCAGAAGACCATGTAGCGCAATCCTGTCTCCACATTAGACAAGACTGATGCTGTATCTCAGTTGTTTTTTGCCGCCATTTTGCATCTAGGCCAAAAGAGGCTCTGGGCTGGTGTGGCCCTGGTGAAGTCTGTGTGGAGACAGATGTCAATCATTCTGGTGCTCAGATGCAATTCCCCCAATCCTCTTCTGGATGATCCAAGAGCCGGGTTTCAATATTGCAGATGCCCTCCAGATCCACAAGGGACATCTAAACTTTCCTCCCTGTTCTGATGCTTGATGTAGACAGGTGGTGTCACTGGAGATGACTGCTGCCAACAGGTAGGAGCAGCTGCTCCCCTCTTAGACGCAGGTGAATGTAATGAAGAAGGCTGTGACCCAATGTGTGGGGTCCAGCAAGAGCAGTGCATACGCTTGGCTTGGATGCCACCAAGGCTAAAACAAGGCAAAGTTGCCACAGGGACAAGGACTGAATGCTTCTCATATAATGGTGTTGGGGGTGCCTCAAAAGAGGCAAGGGTCAGTTACTGGTCACCCAGTTGCTGCAGCAGAGTCCGACGCCGACGTTCCAGCTCCCCTTCGCTCAGCTCCTCGCTCTCTGAGGTGTCCCAACCACTCTGACAGCAGAAAGAAGGCAGGTAAGAACCTCTCATCCAGCTTTCCCTCCAAGCCTTTCTTTTTCCTATTTTCCTCCATCCTCCATGTCCTAAAGCAGGAATGGGCAATTCCCTTTATATGACCCCCTAGAGCAGGGCTTTTCAACCTTTTCACCCATTGTACCACTTTTAGGATATGGCACTATCCAAGTACCACCAGTAGCCTAGCAAGGTGTCAAAAACTTGACCAAAAAAAGGAAAAAAGTGATAAAGTACAGGTAGTCCTCGATTTATAACAGTTCGCTTAGTGACTGTTCAAAGTTACAATGGCACTGAAAAAAGTGCCCCCCAAGCCACAGCCGAGCAAGACACCTGCCTGCCCACCCAGTGGCGCTCTTCCTCCTGTCCGAGGTTTTCATTGTTGTGAGCATTTCTGTTGAGGATTGGCAGCGGAAGTGGGGTGGGGGGTGTTTGGTTTTTATTCCCACCCATCTGCTGGGTGGTTGCAGCAGGTTTTGGTCACTTCACATGACACTGTGACCGTCATAAATATGAATCAGTTGCCAAGCATCTGAATGTAAATCACAAGACCCTGGAGATGCTGCAGCATTCCAGCTGATCGGTGCTTCTTCTGGGCTCAGCAGAAGCGCCAGGATCAGTGCTGCTTTCCAGCTGATTGGTGCTTCTTCAGGGCTCAGCAGAAGCACCAGGATCAGCGCCGAGCTGCAGCTGGAGCCTGGCGCTGATCCTGGCGCTTCCGCTGAGCCCTGACAGCCCCGAAGAAGCACCGATCAGCTGGAAAGCGGCACTGATCCTGGCGCTTCTGCTGAGCCCTGACAGCCCTGCAGCTCCAGCCATCTCTCACTCAGGCTTGTGCGGTGCTGCCACCAGTTCAGCTCATTCCCCTCCCCCGCTACCACTTTTCTAGGATGGTCGCGTACCACCTGCCAGGTGCCAATGTACCACAGGTGGTACCCGTACCACTGGTTGAAAAGCCCTGCCCTAGAGCCCCAAACAATCAAGACTGTTGAAAACAGAGAGCAGTTCTCTGCCATTTTGAGGTGAAATCTCCTAAAACAGACAAGTCACTATTTTTTAAAAAAGAAATTGAATCCAAATCTCTCCCAAATTCCCCAATTGTCCCACCTGTTTTGTGGTCTTCGATTCCCCACCCGAAAGGGTTAGGACAAACTATGGCCCTTTTATGACTCGTGGACTTCAACTCCCAGAATTCCTGAGCCAGCCACAAGTCATAAACGGACCATAGTTCCCCACCTCTGGGTTAGGAAAAGCCATTCCTGGGCTGGGATTCTGCCCTCCCCCCCACCGTCTCACCCGCTCCCTCCGAGTACCCCGGGGAGGGGAGTGGCCCCTCCCCTCAGGTCGCAGAGGGGCCTTCTCTCGCTCCCACTCTTCTGCCCGGCTCGGCTCCTTCTTGTGCTCAGCTTCGCTTTCAGGGCTGTTCTGTAAAAGAAACAGTTTGCGAGGTGGGGGGGCCTGGGAGGAGGGGTGGGTGGGTGGGTGACTGGCCCATTTGGTGATATGAGGCTAGCACAACCAAAGAAGACAAATGAGCCCCAAAGATTGTAAAACCAGCAATTTAGACTTTTGAGATAAAACGGTTGCAAAGTACCAAACTTTGCCAAGTGGGTTTGGTGCTACCTGGGGACATTTGTACCTTCAGCCCTGGCTGCTCCCTTGAATCCCCAGATAATATACCTGCTCCTACTCTGCAGGTCGAGACCCATGCAGAGGGAGCTGCCAGGGGAACTGCCCTTTTTTCCAAGGAGCCTGGCTTTATGCAATTGGTCCCTTCCACCTGGATGTCTCCTTGCCTCCCTTCTGCTCCCACCACCTACTCACCGACTTATGCCGTTTCTTCTTGCTCTTCTTCTTCTGCCTCTTGGCACGCCTGGGGCTGTGCTCTGCAGGAAGACAGGAAGTTGTGTGCAGACAGAGAGAGTCTGACCATCCCAGCCTTCCCCTGGGAAAACCTCAGCCCGCTCCCAGCAATGTCTCCATGTATTGGTGAAAAGAATTTCAGCCCATCGTTTTTTGTGAGTTTTTAAACAAGTTAAAATAGGTAATGTGAAGAGTCCAGTAGGTTTGCCTGGGGGGGGGAGGGGGAGGGAGGGATGTCAAATGGGAGAGCCTGATGAAAATGATGAATTGTGGCCCCTGCCCCTTTTGAACATCGTCTTAATTGTACAGGTGTCCCGAAAAGGTAACGCTTGTAGTCTGACATCACGCAGCTGCTGTCGTCACTTGGACAAAAACAGCAGAAGCCACAAACAACTTTACTAAGCCTGACATGCCTCTTCATGTCTTAACTGTCCATAAGCATTATGCAAAATGTGAAGAAAAAAAATCCCCAAAATCCACTCCCTGAACTTTCTCTACATCTACAACAGGTGCTTTTCCCCCTCGAAGGCTGAAAAATATATTCTTAAAAAACAAGAAAGCACAACCACTAGCACAGCAATAACACTGCTTGTCCTAGACAAGCCGATGCCAACAGAGTTGCTTTATAGGATTTTTCCAGATATGAGGACAGCCCACACGCTAGTTTCCCATAAGGGCTTGTTTTCTATGGGGCTAACCAGTTTCTCATCCAAGCCTGACCTGAATCGGGTGAGGACGAAGCCCCTGAACCCGCTGATTCCGAGTGGTTTCGTTTCTTGCGCTTGGCTGCTCGGTGGGGATGATCTGAGCCCGATTCTGAACCCTGCGGGACAAAAAGAAGGACTCACCAAGACAGCCACTGGCAGAGGAAGAGTGGGCAGAGGCACGGGAAGAAGAAAGAAGCAAAAGTAAAGCTATCGAGGAGGAAGAGGCACAGGAAAGGATGAGGCCAAGCTGCTGCATTTTTGTGTTAGTAAACAGCACAATCCTAGATCTTGAACCGACTTATCATTATTCATCCTTTACGAGAGTGGCCAGCTTGCAGAAATCATCCCCACACCAGGCAACCTTCTCATTAGAACAGCTTTTCCTAAGCTAATCCCCTGCAACTCTTTATCAACCCCCAGTGCCTTAATTCAAAGATGGGGAGGTGTTTTAACAGGTCCTGATCAAGCTTACCAATCCTTGGCCAAGCAAGAGATGAGCCCTCCTAAGGTCTAAGGTGGTGCCTCTGGCTTCTTGCCCCTCATTGTACTGCACCCCACAAGCCCTTGAAAATTTCTGGCACGGGGGGGGGGGGGGC